GCCCAAGCCATGGGGCTGCCCTCGTACTCCCTGCGTTCCGGGATTGGCCACTGAGGTGGGAAGGCGAGGCCTATCCCCAGGGGGGGCTCCCAGAGGTGAGGAGCCCTGGCTGCCTCCGCTGGTCAGGCACACAAGTGGCACATTGTGTGGGCCCCCCACGTGTGCACACACGAACACACACATACACAATGGGCCACTCTGTCCCTCCCCCTTCCATCTTTTCCCCTCCCCTCCCTTCCCCTCCCTTCCCTTCCCCTCTCTTCTCTGCCCCTCTCTTCCCTTCCCAACCCTCCCCTCCCCACCCTCCCCTCTAGGCTGGGCCTGGAACACTGGGTGCCTGAGCCAGGCATGGGAAGCCTGCGGCCTGGGCTGCCTGGCGCCGCCGCTGGACACACTGCATGCACACCCCATGCCTGCTCGCCCGCCCCAGCCCAGCTTAGCAACAGCGATGGGCACGCATGTCCTGCGACTGCAAAGCAGCACCGGGCTTGGTGGGAAGCCACAGTGACTGGGTGATGGGTGGGAAACTGAGGCCCAGAGTGAAGGCCTTTGCCCAAGGTCACACACAAGAAGGATGCTGGAACCAAGAGCCAGGCAAGCTGCAGTGAAGCCCAGCTTTGGAGTAGTGGAGAGAGCTGGGCCAGGACCAAGGGTAGGAGGCCTGTGCAGGAGGGAGTGCCCAGGGGCTACTGGGGCCCAGCTCCCTGCACCCCCACCCCTGCTCCTGTAGTCTCCGGCCCTGCCCTGCCTCCAGAGCCAGGTGGCCTCCCCCATGATGTCTCCCTCTGTCCTTGCTCACTGACATTTTCAGACACCCCCCCACACACACACACAGACACACACTGACACACACAGACACACACACACACACACACACTGGCAGAGGACTGCACCCGCCCATCATGTTCCCTGGACCTTCCCACTTGTAGGCCAGTGTGTGGGTACAGGGAAGGCAGGGCTCCCTGCCCTCACCCAAGCCAGGCAGGCCTCCAGGCTTGAGTGCCAGCCATGGCGCACATACACACAGGCACGAACATGCCCTCGCTGCCTTTCCTTCCTGTATCGCCTGGCAAACAAGGAACTGTGACACAAGGGATGGCGTGTGTGTGCAAGCACATGTGTCCTCCATAACCATTAGGTCGCCCTTGGTGACCATGGAGGCAGAAGCCTTGTGGTCCAGGGAGCTGAGCCACAGCCCCCCTCAACACTCCAACCCCCCCAGGACTGTTCACCTGGGGCCTCTGAGTCAGTGGCCAGCCGCTGCACTGATTCACCCAGTGGGAAGTTATGATGGGGCTGCGGTGGAGCCTGGAGCTGGGGCTTCCCCCAGCCTCCCAGGGCCTCTGGAAGCTGGATTGGCCGCAAGCCTCCACAGCCTGGTTGTGGAGTTTGGGTCAAGCCCCTGGCCTGTGTGTCCTCCCTCAGGTGTGTTCCTTATTCCCTACATCCTGATCGCCCTGATTGGAGGAATCCCCATTTTCTTCTTGGAGATCTCACTGGGCCAGTTCATGAAGGCCGGCAGCATCAACGTCTGGAACATCTGCCCCCTGTTCAAAGGTGAGCAGCCCTGGACCAGCCCCTCTCTGCTCTCTCCCTCGGCCACTCTTTCCCTTTCCCACTGCTGGGACAAGGCTGGCACCCACTTGAGAAATCGCATCCTGTCTGAGCACCAGGCCTGGGGCCCATTGATGACCCCCCAAGACACGAGGGAAAGCTGGACACCATGCAGACCACCATGTGACCTTGGGCAGGCTAAGGGCTAGAGGGGGGATTGGGCCTGTCCGCTAGGGGGAGAATGTGCAGGCCCAGCAGGGCTGGGAACACACTTGGCTAAGCTCACTTGGCTCACTGAGTGGAGGGCGGCTGGTGCAAGAGACAACCATGGGAGAAGCGGCCTGGGGCCAGCTCTCTGAGGCCAGAGGGCCAGGCTAAGGGCTTGGAGGGGAGCGATTGAAAGTTCAGGGTCTGAATGGAAGAACTAATAATGGCAAAGGTCACCTTAGAACCCCTTCTGTGCGTGGGTGGCAGTGTCCCCATCATCTCTCTAGGCCCTAGCAGGTAGGTTTCACTATTACTGTCTTTGAGGAGGCTGGGACACAGAGAGGTGAAGTGACTAGCTGTGACTGCCTGCTGAAAGGAAGTGCGAGATAGTCACCCTCCAAATCCAGGTCTAGCAGCCTTCCCCCTTGAGGGGGAAAACCCCAGGTCACCAGATAGCCCCCCAAGTTGCTGAGTACTGTAGGCC